AAAGACGTGGCAGTGGCTGTTGCTGGGGAGCCTCACAGGAACCAGGCACTGAGGAATGGGTAAAATTTCAACAGAAGGGGCGATGAAAGTGCAAGGTGAAGGGCATGACATGTGCACGTGGGTCCTACAGCTTATTCTAGTGGTTTTTGAATAGTGAATGGGGCTGCAGCAGAGGGTGTGTGAGCCCAGTGGTAATAGGATGAAAAGGGAGGTTGGGCCCAGAGTGCAAAGAAGCGCTTTCTCTGTCCTGTGTGTCTCCCCAATTCTTTAAACTACAGTTTAGATTTTCTCCATCTGTAAAATTAAGGAATTGGATTAAAGGCTCTTCTCCTAGTATCCTTCGGTTCTGTATTCAGGCCACCAACCATAAATGTGCTTCCCCAATCCATTGGCACCATCCATCATCCTTCCTATCAACTCAGCCTCGTAATGACCTGCTGATCTATACATCGACTCGTACTCTACCTGGGACTTCCACCCCACCCCCAACCACTTGACCTCTCCCCATGCGCAGACAGCCTGTGTATTCTGAGCTTACAGTGGCTGGGCTCTGGGGGGATTTAATAAATCGAATTTCGATAGCCCCACAATCCCAAATTATTTTACCGCAGTGGTATTCTGTTTGGGGGTATAATTCTAGGACGTGTCTGCCATATTTTTTGTGTTTTTCAAATTTCATTTTGTTGATCCTGCCAGATTGAAGGAAAGGTCACTTTTTGCAGAGTGGGAAGGAGAGTAGTTATCCTGTGGGAACCGTTTTCCTAGGATAATATGATTCCTAGGGCAGTCTTTAGGGTTGGGCAGCAAAGCCAGAATCTTTTGCTCAGCTCTGACCTCGAAGGAGTCCGTTGTCCAGAAAGTAGTTCCCATGGAAGAAAGATGGTCTCCTTATCAGAGAGACAGGCCAGGAGCCAGGAGGAGGAAATTGGAACAAAGTGCCTGCAACACTGCTGGCCTTTGGGGACAGGAGAGCAGTTCTTCAGACCAGATGGGGAAGGAGGCTGCATCTGTGGGTGCCGGGAGCGAGTTAGCACGGGCAGGCGCAGGCGCGGCACTGGGTAAGCAGGTCGGCTTTTCTGTTTCTCGTGCCACCTTTGTTTATTTCCCTTCTGGTTTCCCTCTGGATTTAGTAAAGTCTTTCTGAAAATACCAAAGGTGAACCAAGGGAAAGATTTTTATTTTCCATGCTCAAACAGACCTTTAAAGAGAAAACAATGTACCCCTGGGGCCGGGGCGGAGGCAGCAATGGTAATTAAACGGCGGATACCTCCAGGCAGGTGTCGTGAATCACAGGGCACTGGTGTGGATGGATCCCACCTGGAGAATCTCTTTCCGGTGCCGGATTCAGAAAATCTGGGCTTTGCTCTGGTGAGAGAGAGACCAGCAAGGAAGGTATTTCGAGATCAGATCACTAATTCCCCAAGGACTCAATAGAAATCCCATGCTGAGGTTCTACTATGGCAACAGAAAGAGAGTGTTGATGGGTTAAAATGCCATTTACATTGAGATCAGCCCACTAATTCCCCAAAGACTCAACAGAAACCCTGTGTCGAGGTGGTGCTGTGGCAGCAGAATGAGAGCGTCGATGGGTTAAAATGTCATTTAAACAAGAAGATAATAGAATTAGAAATCTAACCACTAAAAGAAACATTCTGCAGTGGAAGCTTTAAAAAGCCAAATGAGGAAAATTAATCAACAAGGCATCTTGCTATTCAGGGCAAGTCTGGCTCTGAGCTGGTTGTTGCTGCCTCTTCATCTTCTGCCGTCTTGTGAAGAGGCTCTCTGGGGAGCAGCCGGGTGTCCCAGGGAAGCATGTTCATTGGAGAACTTAGCAGAGCACCGGAAGCTCAGGCCCTCTCTTAGAGTAGGTAGTGGCCCCACATGTTCCTCTCTAAGGGTGGGAGACCGGCTCCCCCAGGCATGGCCCAGCCAGGGATGAGCCCATGTCCTGATGCCACAACACAGAGCAACCAACCCAACCCTCAGCCTCAGGGTTTGCAGTAGAGCTCTGTTTGTTGAAACATTTGCGGGGCTGCTACTGCTAATAAAAGACTATCAATACAGTTTATAATTTTCAGGTTGATTTCTTCATAGTTCGCCCAAGTGGAGTGGCCTTTGGTCTTTTCAGGCTCAAGGGACGTTTAAAGACGTGGCAGGATCTCGTCCACACACAGCAGAAGGCCGCAGATACAGCAGACATCAGATGCAGATGCAGTAGGTTCTGTCTGTCCAGGAAGAGCAGAGGCGGAAGCACGTTCCTCATCCTGCCTCTGCCTTCGTGACCTAGGTCCTAGGAAGAGACCTAACTCTTTTCTACTGTAGTTCCCTCCACTAATGTTTTTGGTTTATTTTGTTAAAAAATTATTTTGCCCTCTCCTGCCTGCTTATACAGCATGTGTGTGCGTGCACACGCTCACACACACGCACGTACACACACACACACACACATTTCTTTCCCCATCACACAGCCACAAGGCTGGAAGAGGACTGTTGAGGCAAAGCCACTTGGAAGTCTAGGGGAGAAATGTGATGTAGAGATTCCGAGGACTCCTAGAAGGAAGCAGTTTCCAGGGGTAAGGAAGGAGATAGCTCTGTCTCTGGACAGCAGAGAGGAGTTTTGTTTGCTCACCAAGGATGGTGACACCCTGCTGTCTCTTACCCACATAGGGACACTCGGCCTCTGGGAGCTGGTCCCAGAATGACATGGACTCAGCTACCACAGCCTGCTATTAACACCTGTGTTTCCTTTTCAGATCTTACAGGTGAACAAGGTGATGTCCATCTTGTTTTATGTGATATTTCTCGCTTATCTCCGTGGCATCCAAGGTAACAACATGGATCAAAGGAGTTTGCCAGAAGACTCGCTCAATTCCCTGATTATTAAGCTGATCCAGGCAGATATTTTGAAAAACAAGCTTTCCAAGCAGATGGTGGACGTTAAGGAAAACTACCAGCGCACCCTGCCCAAAGCAGAAGCCCCCCAGGAACCGGAGCAGGGCGAGCCCGCCAAGTCGGAATTTCAGCCGATGATTGCAACGGACACGGAATTGCTGCGGCAGCAGAGACGCTACAACTCACCCCGGGTCCTGCTGAGTGACAGCACCCCTTTGGAGCCCCCTCCCTTGTATCTCATGGAGGATTACGTGGGCAACCCCGTGGTGGCAAACAGAACATCGCGGAGGAAGAGGTATGCAGAGCACAAGAGTCACCGAGGGGAATACTCCGTGTGTGACAGCGAGAGTCTGTGGGTGACCGACAAGTCATCAGCCATAGACATTCGGGGACACCAGGTCACGGTGCTGGGGGAGATCAAAACCGGCAACTCTCCCGTCAAACAATATTTTTATGAGACGAGATGTAAAGAAGCCAGGCCTGTCAAAAACGGTTGCAGGGGGATTGACGATAAACACTGGAACTCGCAGTGCAAAACGTCCCAAACCTATGTCCGAGCACTGACGTCAGAAAACAATAAACTTGTAGGCTGGCGATGGATACGGATAGACACCTCCTGTGTCTCTGC